TCGGCGGGGTCGCAGCTGCCTCTGGAAGGCACCGAGAGGTACCAAATGGCGCAAATGGTCATCACCGTCATAGGGAGGGGCTGCACGTGGTCGTGGACCACAGCGGAGTGCTCCCAGACGAGTCAGAGTGCACAGACCACAGAGTCAGAGAGCTCTCTCTGAGCGAGCGGAAGCGGGAGAACCGAGAGATAATAAAAGCCCTTTCTCGATCTGATTGGTCGCCCCGCCAGCGCCTCGACCTTCTTTGGCAGCAGCCGGATCTGCCTGTTGCCGTGGCCTAGCATGCCACGCCCCAGCTCCAGACGCCGCCGTCGGCGGTGCGGGCGAGGCTGTGAAAGTATCCCGCCGACACAGCGACGACGCGCCGCCCTACCAACGCCTCGACCTTCTTGGGCAGCAGCTGGATCTGCTCGTCCCCGTGGCCCAACCGGCCAAAGGTTCCACTGCCCCAGCTCCAGACAGCGCCGTCGGCGGTGAGGGTGAGGTCGCTGACCTCCAGCCGACACAGCGACGACGTGCTGGTCAGCCAAGGCTTCGACCTTCTTCGAGACGCTCACAGCGCGCTCACCCAGCGTCGACGGGAGGCGGGTCGGCGTGTTCAGCCGCCTCACGCCCTCGCCGTGGCCGAGTACCGATGGTTTCCAGTTCGGCGCAGAGCCGCACGACGAGAGCCTGGGCTGAACCACGGCGCCAAGCCGCACGACGAGAGCCGCCCCTCGCCGTCGGTGAAGAGGCTGTGCGTTTCGCCTGCCGCCGCCCTCGCCGGCGGGTTGGCCTCGCACAGCAAGGCAGCGAAGCACAGCCACCGCACGGCGCAGCTCTCGCCCTCTGGCTGCGCCGGCAGCTCGAAGCCGCGCTCTTGCGCCCACAAGCGGATGCCCTGCTCCGCGAGCAGGCGTGGAAGAGGAGCGAGACGGCCGAGACGCGAGCGATGTCGGCGGGGTCGCAGCGAGAGACGACGCGCACGAGAAGCTCCCTGGGGAGGTCGAGGAGCCGGGCGGGCGGCGGCGGCGCTTGAAAGAATTTAAACAAGAACTCTCTCACAGCACACAGGCTCGACACAGGTGCGAACTGGCGCGTGCTAGTACTATCACCGGCACACCACCGGAGCCTGAAAGAAAAATTCCGTTTTCCCAGGCGCCACACTTTTCTTATACTGTCCCGTTTTGCTGTTCACAGCAAGGGAGGGCCTCTGCGGCAAAGTCAAACCACCCCCCCCACCGCCTCCCTCCCTCCCTCCCTCCCTCCCACAGGCAAACCTTCGGCTCCCGCTCAGAGGCTCGCCGCGCCCGTGCGGCGCGCCGAGGCGGCGCCGAGGCCGGCGCCTTGCACCCCGGCCGCGGCCGGCACCGCCTCGCCCCACAATTGAACGCCCTGCGCCCCTGCGCAGGGGTACCACAGGCGTCGCTCAAAAACGACGCCGGGTGTGGGCTGCTGCTCCCTTGACCCGTCACCCGCCGCGCCCTCGCCCGGCCGCCTCACCGCTCACGGAGCGCTCGGCGGCTCGCCGCCGCCGCCGCGCGTCCCGCGCCGCCACGCATGCCCCTTGCCCTGACGCGCGCGCTCTGCAGCGGCAGAGCGCGCGTCTGTCACAGACGGAGCAGCGACCGCCGGTCGCTGCTCCGCCCCCCCGTCGCGCGCGCCGCGCGCGCGCCGCCGCCGCCGCCGCCGCCGCCGCCCCCTCCTCGCCGTCTTCCCCACCCTAGCCTCTGTTGCGCGCGCGCGCCCCGCGCTGCGCGCCCCCGCCCCCACCCCCGCCCCCGCCCCCGCCCCCGCTCCCACGCGCCCCTTCCCCGGCAATCGAGAGGTGGCAGAAGCCGCCGTGTGTGACACATATTGCGGCACGTGAGTGAGACAGAGCCCCGGCAGCGCGCGCGCAGCGCAAACAGGCGTTTCAAACAGCAAACGGGACGGCCTGCGCAGCCTCTAACTATTTTTGGCGGCGGTTGTGAGCGCGCGAGCAATGCCGCGCGAGATCATCACGCTGCAAGTGGGCCAATGCGGCAACCAGATCGGGATGGAGTTCTGGAAGCAGCTGTGCCTCGAGCACGGCATCTCCATGGATGGCCGGCTCGAGGACTTTGCCACTCAGGCGCCGAGCAAGCGCCCGCACGCAGCAGCAGAGCAGCGGATCCAGCGGGTGAGCGCACTGCGCACGGGCGCTGAGGCCATTCCGACCTTGCCCGCCCATCCCAGGGAGGTGATCGCAAGGACGTCTTCTTCTACCAGGCCGACGATGAGCAGTGCGCGCGCCGCCGCCGCCTCCGCCACTGCCTCCCTCCCGCGCCTGCCTCCTCCCCTCCTCGAGCGCCCCCCGCCCATTCATCCTGCCCCGGCGCCGCGACCCGCCCGCACGGCGATCGCACACGCAGCCACCACGAACGGCGCAACGCTCCCTCCGGGTCGTTCTCGCCTCCGACCCGCCTCGCGTGTGTTTCTTCCGCGGCTTAGGTACATCCCTCGGTCGCTGCTGATCGACCTCGAGCCGCGCGTGCTCTCGCACGTGCAGCAGACGCTGCCGCGCCTCTTCAACCAAGAGAACATCTTCTCTCACCCTGAAGGAGGCGGCGCCGGCAACAACTGGGTGAGCTGCGGCTCCACCGCCGCCTCCACCGCCGCCTCGCCGCCGCCTCCACCGCCGCCTCCACCGCCGCCTCCTCGCCGCCGCCTCCACCGCCGCCTCCACCGCCGCCTCCTCGCCGCTGCCTCCACCGCCGCCTCCTCGCCGCCGCCTCCTCGCCGCCGCCTCCACCGCCGCCTCCTCGCCGCCGCCTCCACCGCCGCCTCCACCGCCGCCTCCTCGCCGCCGCCTCCACCGCCGCCTCCTCGCCGCCGCCTCCACCGCCGCCTCGCCGCCGCCTCCACCGCCACCACCTCGCCGCCGTCTCCACCGCCGCCTCCTCGCCGCCGCCTCCACCGCCACCACCTCGCCGCCACCACCTCGCCGCCGCCTCCACCGCCACCACCTCGCTCCACCGCCACCACCTCGCCGCCGCCTCCACCGCCGCCCCTCCGCCGCCGCCCCGCAGGCGGCGGGCTACACGATTGGCGGGTCGGTGCAGGAGGAGATCCTCGAGATGATCGACCGGTGACTCCTCCGAGAGTCTTCCGAGAGCCTTCCGAGAGTCTTCCGAGAGCCTTCCGAGAGCCTTCCGAGAGCCTTCCGAGAGCCTTCCGAGAGCCTTCCGAGAGCCTTCCGAGAGCCTTCCGAGAGCCTTCCGAGAGCCTTCCGAGAGCCTTCCGAGACCCTTCCGAGACCCTTCCGAGACCCTTCCGAGAGCCTTCCGAGAGCCTTCCGAGAGCCTTCCGAGAGCCTTCCGAGAGCCTTCCGAGAGCCTTCCGAGAGCCTTCCGAGAGCCTTCCGAGAGCCTTCCGAGAGCCTTCCGAGAGCCTTCCGAGAGCCTTCCGAGAGCCTTCCCAGACTCATTTGCGAACGTGCCTCTGAGAAACGCGGCGCGCACACCCCAGAGCAGCGAGGCAGGCACCTCCGAGGCACCTCCGAGACACCTCAGAGGCACCTCCGAGACACCTCCGAGGCACCTCCGAGACACCTCAGAGACACCTCAGAGGCACCTCCGAGACACCTCCGAGGCACCTCCGAGACACCTCAGAGGCACCTCCGAGACACCTCCGAGGCACCTCCGAGACACCTCCGAGGCACCTCCGAGGCACCTCCGAGACCCGCCCCCCCGCCCCCCGCCCCCCAACGCCGCAGCGAGGCGGACGGGTCCGAGTCCCTCGAAGGCTTCATGATGTGCCACTCTATCGCCGGCGGCACTGGCTCCGGCCTCGGCTCCTTCCTGCTCGAGCGGCTCAACGACCACTTCCCGAAGAAGCTCATCCAGACGTACTCCGTCTTCCCTAACCAGTCCACCGACGCGTCCGACGTCGTCGTGCAGCCGTACAACTCCCTGCTCACACTGAAGCGGCTCACCCTCAACGCCGACGCGGTGGTCGTCCTCGACAACACGGCGCTGAACCGCATCGCGACAGAGCGGCTGCACGTGCCAAACCCGTCCGTCGAGCAGATCAACCAGCTCGTGTCCACGGTGATGGCTGCGTCGACCAACACGCTGCGCTTCCCGGGCTACATGAACAACGACATGATCGGCCTCGTCTCGTCCCTTATCCCCACGCCCCGCCTCCACTTTCTGATGACTGGCTACACGCCGCTCTCCTTCGACCACCTCGGGGGCGAGGCCAACCCGCTCGCGGTGCGCAAGACGTCGGTGATGGACGTGATGCGCCGGCTGCTGCAGACCAAGAACATCATGGTGTCGTGCTCGACGCGCAAGGTCCACATCTCCCCGCACCTCCCCACACCTCCCCACACCTCCCCACACCTCCCCACACCTCCCCACACCTCCCCACACCACCTCTCCGCACCTCCCCACACCTCCCCGCACCTCCCCACACCTCCCCACACCTCCCCACACCTCCCCAGGACCGCGGCTGCTACATCTCCATCCTCGACATCATCCAGGGCGAGGTGGACCCGACCCAGGTGCACAAGTCGCTGCAGCGCATCCGCGAGCGGCAGCTGTGCTCCTTCATCCCTTGGGGGCCGGCAAGCATACAGGTCGCCCTCTCGCGCCGCTCGCCGTACGTCAAGTCGCCGCACCGCGTCTCGGGACTGATGCTCGCCAACCACACGTCGATCCGCGACCTGTTTGCGCGGATCGCGCAGCAGTACGACAAGCTGCGCAAGCGCGACGCCTTCCTCGACAACTACCGCAAGCTGCCCATCTTCGCCGACGACCTCTCGGAGTTTGACGAGTCGCGGGACGTGCTGCACGAGCTGATTGAGGAGTACCGCGCGTCCGAGTCGCCCGACTACGTCAACTGGGGCATCGAGCGCACGCCGGGCGAGCCGGACCCCGGCGCCTTCCAGGAGCGCAAAGCAGGCGAGGCGGCGGTGGTGGGGCAGGGATGAGCGCGCAGCGGTCGACCCATGTCCCTCTCCGGCGCGCAGTGCCAGTGGCGCGCGGCTCCTATCTATACATCTAGTTTGTGCTTGTATGTGTGTAAGTGACTGACATGCCTTGTGGGCTCAACACCCCGTTTACATGCGCAGCGCCGCCGAAGCGCAAAAAAACACCACCGACGCGAGAGCGGCGCGCGCACCCGCGCCGACATGCACACTCTCGCAGCCTCTCTCGAGTGGGAGTGGGTGGCCCGCTCATGCCATATCGGATCGCAGACCACGATAATCGATGCACAAGCACATGAGCATGTGCATGTTCATGTGATTTTGGAGATTGCCCCACTACTCTCACACGACACATCTCCAAAACCCAATTTCCCGAAAACTTTGCCAAAAAAGCGGTTTCGCGCCGCGCGCTGGCCGCGCCCGGCGCCGGCTGAGCCCTTTAGCCTCGACACCTCGACACCAAACCTCGACACCAACTCGACACCTCGACACCCCATGCCAACTCGACCAACTCGACACCCCTCGACATCCCTCGACACCTCTCGCTGTCTGGTGTTAATGGACCCCCTTCCCCTCCCTCGCCACCGTCACCGTCACCATCCCCGTCGCTACCGTCCTCCATGCCCGCCGCCCTTTGTTTCACACTCGTCTCTGCCATGTCCGCCGTCGCCGCCGTCCTGTCCGCTGCGCTCTGTGCTCCGTGGTACAGTCGCTTATTGTTGCTCAGGATTAGCTCACGCACCAGGGTTTGTGCCGTGTACGCACAAAAACGATAAACCGTATATGGTTATGGACATGCGCCAAATAAACTCAAAAAGCCTCGTGACCACGAACGCGATCAACCCATGGTCCATTATGCTAGATAGAGAGGGCGTCTCGACAAGCGGGGTCCTATAAGCTATATAATCTCGACGCGAGACGCGCGGGCTCGCCCTAGCTACGCCCTGAGACGCGACTCGCGAGAGACGGCTCGTTGTGCGAGTATATGGGACACGATGTCTCAAATATGAGGGGTTTTGACTCCTACCGGCTCCTGACGCTATCCCTGGCAGCTCTAATGACCAGGATCAGTAGTGCTATGATAGAGGCTGCCCATACTAGCGCAGGAGCTGCCACACTCGCCCGGACCGTCCCCCTCTGGGGCCGGTTCCGCAGCCCGCGAGAGCCGACAGCGGGGCCGTGCCGCGGGTGCCTACTGCCGAGTGCCACAAACACTGCGCCGTCCCGCCACCACCTACAGGCTGTCTTGTGTGATGGTTGGGATGTCCAAACGCCACCATCTTGGCTCTTGCGACCTCAAACCCGCGAGCTGTATGGGTGGTCCTGACGTCGACAGACGCCCGAGGACCACGGTGAAGCTGAGCCGGAACGCGTCGACAAGTCTCGTCTGAGCCCGTGGCGGTCGCCGGCTGAGTCGTTGTGCACGGGCCGGTACCTCAGGCGTCACCTCCGCAGCCTCAGGTCTCACACTCCATCACCGCCGCCGGGACGCCTTCGGTGTCACGCTCGGCGGCGAGTTTGTGGCAGCTCCACAGCGAGCGCGGCATCGAGCCTATTCGGTCTGGTCGGTTAGGCGCACTCCCTGGGTGCCAGGGAGTGCGCCGAACGCGCGAGCGGTGCGTCCTGGCAGCCCGCGCTGGCTGCGGAGCTGCCACAAACTCGAGGCACGCTTTTTTGGGACATTTTCGACGCTTTTGTCCCATATACTCGCACAACATGCCAGACGCGACGAGTTGTTTCTTCTTAGAATTTCTTGTTTGTAGCGTTTTGAGACGCGGCGCCTCGAGAGTCAGGGTCGAGAGTGGGGCTGGGCTCTGGGCTCTCTCTCGAGAGCGAGCCGGGCCCGCCACAACGACAAGCCCCGAAGGATACTTTTGCTGTAACGCAGATTCCGGACCAATCTCTCCTACTCCGCCGAGACACGGCTCTCAGTCTCTCAAGAGAGAGCCCTCAGTCATCGTCTACGATCACGTCCACCTCCACCACGCCGTCCTCTGAGGCGCCGCCCTCGCCGAACCAGCTCGACGACGCCGCGCCTTGCCGAGTGAAGACGCCGGTCGACGCGTCCCTGTCGTCGCTAAAGCTTGAGCCGCAGCTGAAGCAGGTGCCGCTCTGCCCTTTGAGCACCTGCACCGGCGCTCCGCATTCGGGGCACGCGCCCTCGATCAGATTGGAGGAGATGTACCACGAGATCAGCGGCCCAACCACGAGCGGCACGAGCGAGAGGAAGAGCAACCCGTTAAACAGCCACCCCAGGGCACCGCTGGCCACGAGCGAGACAAAGATTATTGGGCCGACGAGGCTGCTGAGCCCGCCGCCGCCGCCGCCGAAGCCTCCGCCGCTGAGGCGCATGCGCGGAGCCTCCTGGATCCTCGAGTGTGGCCGCTCGGCCTCCGCCTGCCCTGGCCGACTGATGTGGTGTGCGATCGAAGAGCGGAGTGGCGCCAGCGAGGAAGAACGGAGAGGCGCTGGGCACGGACGGAAGGCCTGCGCCGATGGCGCCGCTGCCAGCAGGGCGACAACGACGTTCGCCCAGCCAAGACAGCCTCGAGAAGAGGCGTGCATCGGGCTCGCGCTCGCCACGGGCAGCAAAAATCTGGAACACAAATGAGAAACCAGGTCCGCATGTGAGGCGTCGTGACAGCTGACGAGTGGGAGTCAGAAATGTGGTCCTTGCGCGAGGGGAGCTCGATAGACTTGAGGGGCCAGGATACGCCGCGAGGAGGACGGAGTTGCGCCGAAACGCGAAAGAAGCCGCGAGAACAAGGGACCGGCAGGCGGCGGCGCCGCAGGACGAGGCAGAAGAGAACGACGCGACAGAGGAGGAAGTGACAAGGGAGAGAACGACGAGAGTGGGACGGCCGCGAGGTGGCATGAAGGTTGCAGCGAGAAGCGGCGAGAGACTGCGAAAAGAGATACGAAGAGGCAGACTCCCCAGGGTGGGCGACGGCTAGCGCATCACACTCCTCTCCTTAAAATCCCTGTGTGGTGGCGGCGTGCCGTTCTCCCATCCCTCCCTTGGGTTGTCTGTTTTCTTTCTTTCTTTCTGACAGCTGACGACGAGATTACCACTGGTGTGTCGTCCTCCTCGGAGTCGTCTTCCCCGGCTTCCTTCCGTTCGGCTCCACGTTCAGTACGTTCAGCGTGTCTCACCCTCCATGCCGTGAACAGGCGCTTTATCCACCCTATATTCTTCTCTCTCTCCTCTGCCCGTGCCTTGGTCGTTGTTTCGCACTCTGTACGGCAATCGAGGCTGCCTTCCCCACTACCTGTAGTTCACTCGTCACCTCTCCTGCGAGCTCCTCTAACCCGTAGCCAAATTGGCACTCGGGCGTGTGCGCGCGTGGACACTACTCCTTGCTGTATGTCCCTACGGCATATTAAGATGCCGATAAATGCCTCAAGAGCCGAGTGGGGGCCGGAAAGCCCAACACTCCCTCGCCAGGAAGCATCGCAACACAAAGAGCTACGTGAAATGAGCCCACGGCTCTACTAGTGTAGCCAAACGTCAGATCGACTGGACGAGTACAGGACGGACCGACTGGATGGATCGGACCTGGACTCGCGCGACAGCTTCTGGCTCAGCTCTTCTCGCATTCTTCTACCCACCACCATCCCCTTATCTCCTCCAATGTCTGAGCAGTCGGAGCCAAGGCAAGCTGCTCAACTTGAGGGGACGAGGCCAGCATTAGCAGTAGTGTTGCTAGCTAGCCGTGGGGGATATGCACGCGCCAACGCCCGTCCAGGACGGACGGAGGCGTTAGGACAACGCAACCCTAACCCGTAGCCAAATTGGCACTCGGGCGTGTGCGCGCGTGGACACTACTCCTTGCTGTATGTCCCTACGGCATATTAAGATGCCGATAAATGCCTCAAGAGCCGAGTGGGGGCCGGAAAGCCCATAAGCCCAACACTCCCTCGCCAGGAAGCATCGCAACACAAAGAGCTACGATCTCTTCTCTCCTCGTATACTCCGACACATCGAAAGTGGGAGCGAAAACTCAGCCTTCAGTTCTCAGCGCCCTCACGGCCCGCCGATGGCAAACCCGACTCCCTCCATCCGTGTGGCGCCGCCCGATGGTGCCGGGAACCCTATTCCGGAGCGATTTCCCCTAGGGTTAGCGCCGAGAAAGCCGGGCCCCTTAGCTCCGGCTAGGGCTGCGGGGCCTCCGAAGCCGACCCGAGGAAGGGCCGACTTAAGGGTTAGTATAGCGGGCCGATAAGGCCGCCCACACCCGCGAGGATGGCTGTGTGTTTGCCTCCCCGACTCGGACGGCCGCCTCAGAGGGCGGGAGTGCTTCCTATCGCCCTCTCACCCGCGGGTGATGGCCGAGTCCACGGAGCCGCACGCTGCCTCTCCTTCGACGCAAGGCTCCGACTTCTATTAATAGAGAAAACCCCATCTGCACCAGCGTTTTAAAGTGAAATCGTCAAGAGAAATCGATGCACCGGGCTGGGCTTTGGGGTAGGCAGCCACCTTTTTGAAGGTGAGGCGTATCTGCCGACCTGTGAAGACGCTTTACTTGCGAGCAGTGCGTGGACCAGATGGCGCGAGGGCACCAGCGCTGCCCACGGCACCATCTCCTGGTGCCCCGCTGCCGCCCCACCCGCCGCGCCGCCCGCCGCCGATGGCCCGGCCGCCACCGCCACCGTCGGCGGCCGCCTCCCGCCCACCCGCACCGCCGCCCCGGCCACTGCCACCCGCGCCGCCGCCTCGCCCACGCCGCCGCCGGCCCACCCTCCCGCCCGTCGCCGCTGCCGCCGCGCCGCCGCTGCCGCCCTCCGGGCCGCCTCCGGCCCCGCCACCTGCCTCGCCGCCGCCCACGCGACTGGCCTCGCCGCCGCCACCGCCACCGCCCTCCCCACCGCCCTCCCCTCCGCTCTCACCGCCGCCGACGCGCCGCCACGCCGCCTCTGCCTCCGCCCTTGCCGAGCCGTCGCCACCGCCCTTCTCGCCGCCTCTGGGGTGCCGCCTATTCCGTGGCCCTCGCCACCGCCGCCGCCGTCGCCGCCCCCGCCGCCACCGCTACCGCCGCCTCCCGCCCCGCCACCCCCTCCGACACCGTCACCCCCCTCCCTCACACCATCCCGGCCGGCCTCCTCCGTTCTAGCCCCAACTCCCACACACCACCACCGACCTCCCCGCGCCCCCACACGCCGGCCCCGCGCACCCACGCCACCACCATCGCCCACGTCGCCCTCCCGGCCCCCCACCCCGCGCCCCAGGCTCTTCATAGCTCCGCTCGGGGCGTCCTGGCGCCGCCTCCCCAACCGCGACGGCGGCTACCGGCCGGCATAGCCCTTCCAGCGCCGGCCGGGGGCTGCGGCGGCGCGCGGCGCGCGGCGGGCAAGCTGCCTGCTGGCGGGCGGCGCTTCTAGTCGTGATTTTAGTGCCGCGTAGGTCGCCCTTCGGCCACTTCTCGGGCGTGCGGCCGCAGCGCGGCGAGAAGGCGGCGCGCTCGGCCCGCTGGCGGAGGTGAAGCCCCCCAGAGCGGAAGCTGGCGGGCCGGGGGCGTCGGGCGGGTGCGCGGCGGCACCCGTGCCACCGGGACGGGCCGTGGTGGCCCGTGTGGCGGCCGTGAAGGGCCGTTTGGTGCGCCCCGGCGGCCTCCTGCACGGCGGCCGCCGGGGCCGGTTTGGAATGTGTTTGGGGGGGTGGAGTGGTCCGGTGGCCGGTGTGATGGTCGTTTATCACCCTCCTATCACCCACTTACCGCCCCCGGCCGTGGGGGCCTCTCCAGACGCCGCCATTTATGATTTCAAAGGGTCCTGCCGACGCTCATCACAGTGCGGCGGAGGGGCCGGAGCCGGCGCCGCGGAGGACGAGGATGGCCGTGACGGACCGGGACGAGCTCTGGGAGGTTCAGTGTCAGTGAGTATATTGTAGAGACCACCCATGTGCACAATATCTTGACTGAGAGCTAATTCTGGGGAGGCGATGCCGGGGCCGTACAGCAGCTTGATGGTGCTGCGCCGGCGTGCGTCCCGCCGGCCGCCGGGGCCGGTTTGGACTGTGTTTGGGGGGGTGGAGGGGTCCGGTGGCCGGTGTGATGGTCGTTTATGGCCCTCCTATCACCCACTTACCACCCCCGGCCGTGTGGGCCTCACCGGACGCCGCCATTCATGATTTCAAACATCAAAGGGTCCTGCCGTCGCTCAGTCCGAATCACAGTGGGGCGGAGCCTACCCTGTCAAGTGACTGCACTCCAAGTGCTCCAAGTGGTCAACAGTGCGCCAAGTGCTCCGACGCACCTGCCCGCGGGTGAGTGATTGTGATTATGAGTCTCCAAAGATTGTATTCATGCACCCATGCTGCGATCAGGCAGGAGGCTATCATACACCTCTGCGTACAAGCACCTCGAGCAAAACACACCCGGCCGCGCGCAGGCATCTCACCTGCGAGCTGGCAGTTGCCAGTCGGGCCCTCTCCCTCCTGCCACAACCTGCTCCTTCGTGAGAGAGGCCTCGGAAGCCGACGTCTCGACCGCGATCTACTTCTTCGCTTCGATGATCTTTGGGTGTGCCTTGCGGTACTCGCGCTGCTCCTGCGCGTGCGCGGGGCGGGGAGCGGGGCGGTGAGGCGCGGGCGAAGGCACGCAGTGTCGCGAGCGGGGTAGAGCTGCCAAGCCAGTCTATGCTATGACTTTGGAAAGGAAGTTGGGGGGCTGGGTAGGGGTGGAGGAGGGGAGGGAGGAGGGGGAGATGGAGGAGGGGCGGGAGGAGGGGGAGGAGGTGGTGGTGATGGAGGAGGTGGAGGAGGAGGAGGAGGAGGAGGGGCGGGAGGAGGGGGAGATGGAGGAGGGGCGGGAGGAGGGGGAGGAGGAGGTGGTGATGGGTGGAGCGAGCCGTCTGTCTGTCTGTCTGTCTGTCTGTCTGTCTCTCTCTCTCTGGGGAGGATGGAGGTTGGGACGGTGGGGTCGGCCAGGCGGCGGGGGAGCCAACCTTTGGAATGGCGGCCGGGTGCCTGTCCAGCTCGGGCGGCACCGGCTGCTTGCACGAGGTAAGCATGACCTTGAGGTCGTAGAGCACGTTCTCCTCGATGCCCTCGCCCGTGACGAAGGTTGTGGCGACGCCCTTGCGGCCGGCGCGGCCCGTGCGGCCGATGCGGTGCGTGTAGCTCTCGATGTCCTGCGTGCAGGGCGGCGACGCGTCTCTGCTGCGGGTGTGCTGCGGGTGTGCTGCGGGTGTGCTGCGGGTGTGCTGCGGGTGTGCTGCGGGTGTGCTGCGGGTGTGCTGCGGGTGTGCTGTGGGTGTGCTGAGGGTGTGCTGTGGGTGTGCTGGGCGTGGAGGTGCGAGGTGCGAGAGCGAAAAGGCGCAGAGGTGCGTGGCGCGTGCGGAGAGCGGTGGAAGGTGCCTCGGAGGTGTCTCGGAGGCGGTCCCGGGTGTGTGAGTCGCGGGTGTGTGAGTCGCGGGTGTGTGAGTCGCGGGTGTGTGAGTCGCGGGTGTGTGAGTCGCGGGTGTGTGAGTCGCGGGTGTGTGAGTCGCGGGTGTGTGAGTCGCGGGTGTGTGAGTCGCGGGTGTGTGAGTCGCGGGTGTGTGAGTCGCGGGTGTGTGAGTCGCGGGTGTGTGAGTCGCGGGTGTGTGAGTCGCGGGTGTGTGAGTCGCGGGTGTGTGAGTCGCGGGTGTGTGAGTCGCGGGTGTGTGAGTCGCGGGTGTGTGAGTCGCGGGTGTGTGAGTCGCGGGTGTGTCGAGGCCGCCTTCGGCATGTCGTAGTTGATGACGTGCTCGACGCCCTGGATGTCGATGCCGCGCCCCGCGATGTCGGTCGCCACCAGAATCTCAAACTCGCCCGACTTGAAGCCCTCGATCGCGAGCTCGCGCGTCGCCTGGGAAGGAAGTGATGAGCTGAAGAGCAGCCTGGCTCCGGCTGGACACATAGGCACACACACACACACACACACACAAGGCTCCCCCGCCAGCTGGGCCGCCACACAGCCCGATAGAGAGGGGAAGAGCAGCCACAGGCTCGGACCGGACACTTGCGCGGTGCTGGGTGGGGACGCGGGACAAGGAGATGACGGCCACACTGGAGCGACACACACAGACACACAAACTCACAAGACTCACAAGACACTCGCAATTGGTCCTTGGGTTCGGGGCCGGAGTGGCCCGGGATCCCCGCACCCCAAGGGAAGGTGAACCCTGGGAGATTGCAGGGAGAGTGCGATCTCGCGCGATCTCGCGCGTCGCCTGGTCCTTGCCCGAGTGGATAACGGCGGTCGGGTAGCCCATCTTGTCGAGCGAGCGAGAGAGCACGTCGCAGCCGCGCTTGCCTGCGGGTGCGGCAGGCGGACGGAGGGGCGGACGGGGGGGTCAGCGGCGGGGGGGAGGCGAGGGGAGCACGGAAGGGGGGGGGGGGGGTGGCCCGGGCGGGCCCCCGGGGGGGGGGGGGGGGGGGCCCCCCCCCCCCTTCCAAAAAAAAAAAAGGGGGGGGGGGGCCCCTTTTTTAACCACTCCAGGAAATTTTCCCTTTTTTTGGTCCCCCTGGAGACCTCCCCCCGCTGGGGGGTGTTGGCCCTTGAGGAAATCTTGGCCCCCACCTAAACAAAAGGGGGGTGCCCCCGGGAGTTTTTTCCGAACCCCCCCCCCCACGGGGGGTTTTTCCCCCAAAAAATTTAAGTTTCCCCCCGGGGGGGGGGGGGAATTGGGAAAAACCCGGGG